AGCTGTTCCTTTGTGATAAGTAGTTGAATTGACCACTTAAGTATCAGAATTGAGTGGATGTTTTACTCTTCACCTTCCTGTACAAAAGCAACCTAAAGGAGAAAGGCTTATTTTGGCTCACAGCTTGAGGTTATAGTGTATCTTGGCAAGGATGTTCTGGAGGCAAGGACTTGAGGCAGCTGGTCACCTACGACTAGTCAGGAAACCGAGTGCTGAATGCTGGTGCTCTCTTAACCTCCTTTTATGCCATGCAGAGCACAAGCCCAGGGGAAGATGTTGCCCTGTGTTAGAGCAGCTTTTCCATCTCAGTTAACTTAATTAAGGTATTCTCAGCTCTGCCTGGAAGCCGTTTCTTTATTGCAGATGCTGTCAAGTTAAGATTGCTGCTAACCGTCTCAGGTATCTTTCTTGTTTTCTTAGGTCTTATAAAGCCTGTTGTTTCTTGTGGCTGGCAAGTGTGTTCATGTGCCTTCATACTGAGCCATGGCTTGATGGCAGACAACGCTTCATGGCGATTCCAGTAATGACTTAAATATAAGATGGCATTAGGAACTGGGACCACGCTTTCATATGAGCATACAGTAGAGTCCCACCTCTGCCAACAGCAGTTATCCATATAACTTCAATATCCTATATGCTAAAATAAAATGTGAAAATCTTCTCGGAAGTGATGAAATAACGGTCTGGATTTTGCTTTGATCCGGAGTGATATACTTTCTTTGATAGAGTGATTGGAGAAACAAGCCCCCAGCCCCATGATAATGAGGTCAAGATACTCCAACTCTTGGAAGCAGGCACTTCCTGCAGGTCCTTTTTCATCTGGGATAGTCCTGCCCCAAATTCCTCATCCTCTTGGGGCTCAAGATTCCCTCCTGATACATGGTGTCAGTCAGGTAGTAGACTGTAATTATCTGACTCTAGGATGCACTAAAAACTTACTGGTAAGCAGGTACCACCTGCTAGGGAAGACTGGTTTTGTGAGTCCTGGGGATCAAACTGAAGTTGCCCAGGCTTTTGTGGCAAGTGCTTTACTGGTTAAGTCACCTTGCTAGTCCCCCTTTGTAACTTTCTGTGTCATGCCTAAGCCTCTCTCTGACCTTTATCCATGTAAAATGAGGAATGACACCTGTTTCTTCTTTATGCTTTATCATTTTCACTTTAGTTGAAGGTTTTTTTAGATTAACTTTGATGCTTTTGAATATGTCATAGAGTTCTTTTACTTGACTTTTATAGTTTTGGGGTATATCTGTAGGCCTATATGGTATTCCACAGCGAACCTCTGTGCCTCTACTGGCTCCCACCTTCTCTTCCTTTCTGTCTCTTTTTGCATTGTGTATTATAGCTGTAGTCCCCACCTTTGTTCTGATTCTGTGAAATGGCTTCAGTGCCCATAATAGCTCTTTGGCAGGACTTGCTTTATATATCTATTTGGCTGAAAGTCAAAGCATTTTTCATTTTGAAGCAAAAGTCTTTTATTTAAAAGTTTTATATAAGAATCTGTGTGTGGCTACTCTGTGATCACATTTCATTTTACCCGTCTAGAGGAGGCAAATCCTGGAGACTAGAGCTACATTAGTGGTGGCTGGGAATGAGGAAATGAGGAGCAACAGCCAATGGGGTGAGGTTGTTTGTTTGTTTGTTTGTTTTGTGTGTGTGTGTTAATGATCTGGAATTAGCCTGTGGCAATGTAGCATGACTTTGTGAATACCCTATGCGCCAATGACTTATACACAGCATATGTACAATGATTTGTACGGCATACGAATTACATCTCAATTTAACAGATGTGTCTGAGGCAGTAGAAGCAGATTGTCCTGAGGCTTCAAAAAGAACTGCCTCCTCCCCCAGCCCTGGTCAGAAGTAGCTACTACAATCAACTCTTTTGGATCACTTCTTTTAGATTTAACCTTCTTTCTTAGTTAAGGTTTTACTGCTGTGAATAGACAGCAATAAAGTTGACCAAGGCAGCTCTTATAAAGGCATGCATCTAATTGGGACTGGTTTACAGTTCAGAGGTTTAGTCCATTTTCTTCATGTCAGAAGCATGGCAGCCTTCAGGCAGACATGGTGCTTGGAGAAGGAGCTGAGAGTTCTACATTTTGATTGAAAGGCAGCAGAAAAGGACTGCATGATACCCTGGACATAGCTGAACATCAAGGTCTCCTTGACATACTTCCTTCAACAAAGCACACTCCTGAAAGTGCCACTCTATATGGCCAGGCATTCAGACCCACGAATCTATGGGGACCATACCTATTCAAACACCACACCGTCCTACTTTTACTTCTTTTGTGTACCGTAATACAGATATTGGTTAGTTGTTTCCCTTTTATGGTATTAAGATCGATATTGGTTAGCCTGTATAGCATCTCCCAGCAGCCTTTCATCTGGTGATCTTAGCAATACTTGATGACCATCGCCTAGTGGTTAAGAAGGGTGACCGAAACTCATCATCGCTCACTGCATGCGTGAGCTGTAGAGAACACTGGATTGATCCACTGTGGGCTGACTCATTGCAGCTCGAGTGGAAAAATCAAGATATGCTTTTCATTCTTCCCCGCCTGTTCTTTTTCCTTTGTTTATTTCTTTATTTGGCTGCCCCAGAGACCAGCTCACAGCCTTGTAGTCTGTAACTGTACAATTGACTTCCTACATTAGCTTTTGCTTTGCAACTCTGCTTAAGCTTGCTTAAGCTTAGCAGCCTTTCTGAGATGTTCTTAAGACCTTATAACTATGTTGGCTGTGATTAAAGGGATTTTAATGGTCTCTGCCCCATGTATCCCCATTATTTTGTCTAATTAGGTAGGCGAGAAACTAGCAGATGCTGAGTAGAAAGGTAAGAAGAGCTTGCTTCAAGCTTGGGGTGAAGACATTGAGTCTTTGCTCAGGAAGATGTTAGCCGTGAGGTTTCCTTGGACAAGCTTTATATGGCTGTGGAAGCTGATTCCTTCTTTGTGTGTTTGTAAGGGATCTGCCTGTCTATAACGGGCAGCTATGTTCAGCTGCGCGCACAGGTGCTGGGGATTTGAACTGGGTCCTGTGCTTGCAGAGCACATGTTCTTATCTGTTGAGCCATCTTTTCAGCCCTCAGGGCTGTTTTCCCTCTCAGAGTACTGACCCCAGGATTTGTATCTATGATGGCTTCCTGCTCTGGTCTCTTCCGGGGCCTGTGTGGATGCTTCCGTCATAATCCATCACCCCTTCCAGGCAATGTTCGGCCAGCTGCCCGCTCCTTCTCCTCCCTCCTTCACTGTTTGGGGTGACCAGTTGTACAGGAGCTGAAAACTTATTTTGCATGTTTTGTCAGGCTTCTGAGTGTCAGACAGTAAGTCCGGACTCAAGGAGTCCATCTCTGGATGTGGTGTGGAAACATTTGCACTTAGCACTCAATGGGGAGGGGTAGCTGTGGGGATTTGGCATCAGTGCTGCTGAAGGCACCGCTGTCTTCCCACTGGCCATCTGTGTCTTGGGGCCCTTCATTGCTGACCTTACTGTGTCCTTACTATGCCTTACTATGAAATTCCCTCATCTCTCTTTTCTCTGTAGTCATGAATAAGGCTGTCAGAGGAGCACTCATCATGGGGCTAGATTCCTCTTTACTGCTTCCACTGTGCGGCTCCTAACGTTAGCCGGACCGAACCTGCTGACTTGTCAGACTGCAGGAACGCTGTAGTGCCTGTTTCGTGCTTGTGTTTACACACCTCTGCTTCTGTCTGTCCTCCATGGGCTCTTTTCTTTTCCCTTTGTTTCTTACTCTGATTTTGTAACTATCGTCACACATATAAAAACTATCAGGTTAGGATAATGGTTCCTTAACCTCCCTAATGCTGTGACCCTTAAATACTGTTCCTCATGTGGTTATGACCCCCAGCCATAAAATTATTTTTGCTGCTACTTCATAGCTGTAAGTTTGCATTATGAATCATAATGCAAATAACTGTGTTTTCTGATGTTCTTAGGTGAACCCTGTGAAAGAGTCATTTGATCCCCCAAAGTGGTCATGAGCCACAAGTTGAGAATCACTGCTTTAAGACATAATGAGTATATTTTCTTTCTCTAATAATCTTTGTTTGTTTGTTATCCCTAGACAGGGTTTCTCTGTATAGCGTTGGCTATTTTGCTCTCGATTTGTAGACCAGGTTGGCCTCAAACTCACAGAGATCCAGCTGCCTCTGCCTCCCCGAGTGCAGAGATTATAGGTATGTGCCACTGTGCCTGGCTCTCCAATAATCTTTAATAAAATGTAAAAAGAAAAATTGAGCTGTAGTAACTCTGAAATCAGATCTGAAAGCAAACAAATAGGGTATCCAGTATCGTCCTGCTTTTAAGACTGTTCTACTGTGTAGCCCAGGCTGGCCTGGACATGATTTCAGTTTGTGGGTGCTAGGGTCACAGACACATGTGCTGCCATGCCTGGCCCAAAATAGTCTTTTTAAAGGCTTTTGGTACTGCCCTGCTTGCTTGGGGAGGGCTTGCTTACAGCCTGTGTCAGTACTGCTAAGAGCAGAGAGCTCTGTAGGAACATCTTTCGTCTTAGGAGGTAATTTTTCTTGCTAAAAATGTCATGAGAACTTGAAGACTGATCTTGATTTCTCACTTTAAAATGACTGCCAACCGAGCCAGCCTGTTTAACATGTCAAAGTTAGAGCACATGGATTTGTCAATAAATTTAAATGTGCTAGTAGTTGCTATTACTACTAAATTGTTTGAGTAATATATTATATTCACATTTTAAATGGATATTGATCTTCATTCAGTGACTAAATTGGAGCATCTCAATTCTTATGAAATTGCTGACTCTTTTCCACTTTGTAGGTATACAGCCAGACATAAATTCTCACCAGCATTCCATAGATCCTTTTTCTCATTTTCACTTCTTTATGCAGTACTCTTTGGGAAGTAAAAATACTTTGTGGATACTAAAAATAGCAAAAGTACATTCTCTTTAAAAAAAAAAAAAAGTTAAAACACACTCCCATGTCTTTCATTGTATCTTGAAGGTACCTAAGTTTCATTCAGTTGCCCTTGACTCAAAGAAAGTTCTGTCAAAGTTGCCAACAATTGCTGTTACCTGTGGATTGGAGGGAGCACGGTGAGCATCAGCTGTCAGCTGGCATTTCCATCACCCAGCTCAGAAGGCCCAGTCAGCTCCTCTACCCCCTGGAGAACAAGAAGACGCACGCCCAGTACCTGTTTGCTGACAGGAGCTGCCAGTTTCTGGCAGGCCTCCTTGCTGCCCTGGGATTCAGAAGAGTACTGTGTGTTGGAACACCGAGGTACAGTCCACTTTAAAAAGTTCTCTCGGCACCAGTTATGGGTACAGACATTGTTATGAAGCTGTTATGTACTGTATGCAGAATGAGGCACAAAGCTCTAGACATAAGAAGAAGCGGAAGTCAGGGCCCCTCAAAGAGTTTGCAGCCCTGTCCCATGTGAGGGAAGCCTTGGTGTATGGTGGATGCTTTCTGATTGGAGAATAATTTGTGTGTGTGTGTGTGTGTGTGTTAGATTTCTCTGTTAAGTTCTGTCCTTTGAAAAACTATCTGCAAAACTAAAGTGTGCCAGATCCTCTGCACTGTTTCATTGAAATATCTGAGATGGGAGAAGAGCAGCAACATGTTTTGTTTGTTGATTGTCTGTGGCATTTGTAGTTTCTTATTAAATTTGCTTTTGTTACTCGCTTCAGGCTCCATGAGCAGATCAGGCTGACAGCACCAGGTGAGAAGTCCAACATGAAAAGCCTTTTATTGGATATTGATTTTCGGTAGGTTTATAATATCATGCTTTCTCTTCATTATCTCATTTCTTTCTGTGTTTTTCTCTTCTTAACGGTTCGTAACCTGTCATAGTCTGTACCTAACATTCAGAAGTAGTTGTAGGTTATGAACACCTTGTTGGACGTGTGAAGTCGCCACACAGCCTTCAGGAGTTCACAGAAGCTGGCAGTTGATTTCTCTTTGCTACTGTGCATCGCAGATTCTCCTTTGTGAATACACCTTCTTTATGTGGCTTAGAGTTGATTAGCCAATCGGTGGTGGCGCACACCTTTAATCCCAGCCGTTGGGAGGCAGAGACAGGCGGATCTCTATGAGTTCAAGGCCAGTCTGATCTACAGAGCAAGTTCCAGTCTCAGGGAGAAAAAAAAAAAGGAATTAAAGATGATTTTTATTAAATGTAGTCTTTCTCAGGTACTAATGCTTCCAGGTAAACTGAACTGCCCCAATTGTGGTCTGAGTTTTGGGATTTTGTTTCATCTTCAGATCTTGGTCATATGATATCATGTTTTAAAAATACCTTTTTTGGGGAGATGGAGAGATGGCTCAGAGGTTAAGAGCACTGGCTGTTCTTCCAAAGGTCCTATGTTCAATTCTCAGCACCCACATGGTGGCCCGTAACCATCTATAATGAGATCTGGTGCCCTCTTCTGGTCTGCAGGCACACATGCAGGCAGATATAATAAATAAATAAATCTTTTAAAAAATATACCATCTTTTCAGATGATGTGCACACTGCGTCCCAGGTGCAACTGGAAGTGGAGGAAGTGCTGATTTGGACTGGGTGGGCCTTAGGCTGAGGGTTAAAGCAGGTCTGTTTGTGGGGGACAGCTCAGGGTGAGAACGACACGGCTCATGTTGGGCTGCATCCTCAGAGCTAACTTGTAGCGCGCATGGCACGAGCATCCAGCCCCCGCCTGAGGCAGAGCTGAAATGTCCCTTAGTGTCTATAATACTTTGAGGGTTACCTGATGGAAACTTTTAGATATCGTTGATTACATTAAAGGGATCAGTCAGGCTTTGCATCTTTTTTCCATCTGATAGTGTCTGTTTGATCAGTGCTACAGTATTTGGTAGAACATGAGACGTTAGATATGCTTTCTCTACCTGCAAATAAGGCGGGTTTAGAAAAATTTTTCATAACTGTTTTACCTACATGTTATATGGATATCACATGTGTGCCTGTTGCCCGAGAAGTTCAGAAGAGGGCATTGGGTCCCCGGGAACTGTACTTAGGGATGGTTGTGAGCCACCGTGTGGGCGCGGGGAACTGACCCTGGGTCTCCTGTAAGTGCAACAGATATTCTTAAACACTGACAGTCTGTGCAGCCCAAAGCAGACTTTTAAAGAGTAAAATGTCACATGCAGCAGCTCAGCTTTGGGGCCGGGAAGGTGGTGCAGGGGTAAAGCCCGGGGCATGGGAGAGGGACGCAAGCACAGAGACCTGCACGCAGGTTGAAGGTGAGCGCGGCAGAATCGGCCGTCAACCCCGACGCTGGGAGGTGGAAGGGGAGCATCCCTGGAGGCAGGAAGAGACCTCATCTCAAAAAATAAAGTGGGGAAATGATTGAGGAAAACTGCCAGTGTTAACCTCTGCCTTCCTTACACACCCACATACCTGTCACCTCTAAAAGTACAAATTTTACAGTGTCTGTTTCTTTATACAACAGCATTTCTTTTCTTTCTGTGACTAATATCTATTGTATAGATACATCCATTTCTTTTTTAAAATTCTGTATTCCTTTGTTTTCTAATGTATTACTGTCAGTATAAACCCGTTGTTTTATATGTAAAGTTTACCTTTGGGGTTTTTGTCATGTAAACAGTCCCTGGTATATCTTGAGTCCTTCCCTTGTGCAGGTCCTGTGTAACTCATTCATCATGATAGCCCTGTACCATACAACAGGTGCTGCAGTAATCCTTGCTTTCCGCGCGAAAAAACTGAGGTACAAAGAAGTGAGGTAACTTAGCCAAAATCAGTTTGTAAGTGACCAAGCCAGAATCCAGAGCTAGGCAGCTTGACTCCAAGTGGAAACAACTGTGCTTCTGGATCTGTAGATGAGCTTTCCTTAGGCCCACACCCTCCCGCTTTGCCAGCCTTCCCTGTCTCTCTGTCCCTCCTGCTGTCTGAAGGGTTTCATGTGAACCAGGAACTTCTGCCAAGCCTTCAGAAGAAGGCACTCCTATTGGTTACAAGCACCTCTTCGGTGTCCCGGCCATGCGTTCGTAAGAAGGCATTTCTTGTTTTATATTACTAGAATCCAGGACACTGCCAGCTTTGCCCCAGTCCCTGGCTGGGCCTGCCACCATGGGGTTAGGCCTCCGTCTCCGTATATTGCTTTGCCTGTTATCATCAGATGCTCTTTTACCTTGCTTCGCTCTGCTGTGGACTTCGGTGGCAGCGGAGTTAAGCTATCTTGCCCCTGCTCGCCCAACGATACAAAGAGATAGTCTTTCCTGAGAGCCTCACCCGCAAAACTCCAGAGAGTGCTCTGATTGGCTTGATAAAGTCCCGTGCCAGTCCCCAGTCTAGAATCCACCACTGTGGGCAACCCCCGACCAGACAGATGGAATACACCCTGTACAGCGTTACAGTGCGACTGGGAAGGGGAGGTAGACGGGCCAGAGAGGAAGAGCGAAGTCTGTATGAATCATTGAGGACAAAGGCAGTGGGTGCCTTCCTGGGTTAGTTAGTTTTCCCTCAACAGGAGTGGGGCCGCCCGGCGCTCAGTAGCAGGGAGGCCCTGGGCTACCTTGTTGTGTAGTGACTCCGAGTCATCCTAGAGAAGCCTGGTGAAGGCGGCTGTGGGATGCTCCAGGTAGAGGAGCTGGAAAATTCACGCTGTATCTCCTGGAGAGCTGCGCAGACAGCAAGGGTTCTAGACTTGTTCTGTAAAGGAAAGGGGTTGTAGCGTGTGCTACCCCTAATCCAGATTTTTGGCTTTTCCGTTTTTAAACATTCTTTTAAACATTAAAAATAATAGGTTCACAATAGTACTTTTTCCCCATTTCCTAGATTTCAGGGTTTTTATATTTCACACATACAAAACAGTGCTCTCAGGTATGTTCATAAGATTGTGGCACCACATCACTGTCTAATTCCAGAACATTTTTATCGCCTTTGAAAAGGAACATTTTCCCAGTGAGCATTTGCTCCCTGCCTTTGGCCCCCACTTCTGTCTTCTTCATGGGTTTGCCTGTTCTGGTATTTCTGTACATGGGGTCATGGAATAGGCAGCCTTTCAAGGTCCATCCATGTGGGAGCATGTACTGGTGCACTTCTGCATGCATGAGTGGCTTGTGCCATGCTCTATTTATACTGTATTTCCTCCAGTGGCCCATGTGTTAAAGGCTTGCTTCCCAGCGTCCCCAGTTGTGGGGGACTTTTTAGTTGGGACCTACTGGGAGGCCCTCGGTGGGAGGGGATGCACTTGGCAGGTAATGCCCAGAGGTTGGTCACATTTGGTACCTCCCCCAAGTGCAAGGCACTCTGGTTTCTTTTTGCCCAATGAAAGGCCAGTCTATGGCTGCCCAAGTACCTCAGCAGCAACTCTCTGTTCGTGGGCTATAGATAGTAGGGCTGAGCGATGTGAAGTTAACATTTGCTAAGATGGTTTCTGTATGCTCTAATTTTAGCATGAAAGATGTGAGACTCTATTTGGCAAACTATTATCCAAATAAAGTTAGAGCAAAAAAATGAATTTCTTAGGTTCATTTATGAAGTAATTTTATTCAGCTCTTGATTACATTTCCTGTGGAAGAGCGTGCTTCACACTTGGTGACTGACTCTCATTTAAAAAGAATGAATGGCCAAATTAAGCGAATGTCCTTTTGAGCGGTTTTCAAGTGCATGCTTTTCTGATTGGTTTTGTTTGCCTTGTTCAGTGGAGAGAATAATTCTTTGTGGCCAATTTCATTTTAAGAGGGCAATGTTGGTTGATTTTTTTTATATAATTTAAGATATGAATAATTATGTTCTCTTGTTTATGTTTGATGGAAACTTGAACTAAAATCTTGGCCTTTCCCCTCTCTGGCTCTGTGCACTGCTGCCCAGTATGCTTTGCACAGGTGTGGTGTCCTGGAGTTTATGCATATCAGATTCTCTTTTTAATCTTTGCGACTTTGCCTTTGTGAAGCGATAAAGAGAGAGAGAGAGAGATTAAATTAAAAGAAGATTGTATTTTCCTTTTTTAAAAGACAGAACACCCTCAGATGATAGTAGACCAATAGCTGTCTGTACCAGTATTAATTAAAAACAAAAAAGTAAGGCACAGGGCCGGAGAGATGGCTCAGTGGTTAAGAACACTGACTGCTCTTCCAGGGGTCCTGAGTTCAATTCCCAGCAACCACATGGTGGCTCACAACCATCTGTAATGGGATCTGATTTTCTCTTCTGGTGTGTATAAACACAGAGAACTCATAATAAATAAATAAATAATTTTTTTTTTAAATGAGTAGAGCACAGTAGTATATATGTATAATCCTTTCACTTAGGATCCTGAAGCAGAGGACCACTGTTCCAGGCTAGCCTGGGCTAGACAGCAAGTTCCATGGCAGCTTGAGCTACAGAATGTCACCCTGTCTCAGAAAATGAAAACAAACAACAAACAAGACCCTTGTGTGGGTGGGGAACCTTGAAATTTAAATCTCTTGGAGGAGATGTTTGTTTGCTGATACTGATTGTCTTGCCCCACAGTTTAGAGTGACTGTTGAGCTCAGTATGTGGCTTGACTGTTCTAAGGTACCCAAGCCTTTATTTACTTCTTCAGTGCAAATTAATATTTTACAAAACCATCGGATATGCTGATTGTGTCTTAAAAAGCATTAAGGAATGGTGAGCAGCTGTTTTCCCCTCTCCACGGAGCAAGAAGAAATGTGTTTAGATTATGATATGGGGAATAAAAACATAATTTCTAGTATTGGTGGCATTAAGGCATAAGTCCTTACGGCTAATATGTAGTAAAGTAAATGCACACTTTAATGTGTTCTATGTAGCTGCCATTGTCTGTGAAGTCCCAGGAAACTTAGTTTTCCTGTCTTGCGGATGAAGAAAGGTTGACTGATTTACTTCCTAAGGTTAATCACAATACAAAGAGTCCCCAGAGTTTGAACCAGACCTTCTGACTACGGAGCCTGTGCTCTTACCACAGTGTAGTGAGAAGAGGCCAGGGGCCGCCCAGTGTCAGAAGCTGACCCTGGATGGCCAGTGTAGGACAGCGAGGGGCTGCGCTGCAGTGTCATGCCTTGGCCTTTCTAAGAGGTTGTAGAAGTAAGGCTGTCGTCCTGACTTTTTCTTTGTTTCTTTTTATTTTTTTGAAGTATCAAAAGTTTCTGTGTGGAAAACAAAGGAATTTAACAATGAAGACAGCAAGGTGCAAGCACACAGATGAAAAAACAGCTCAGCTGGGAAACAGAGGATTCAGTCTTCTACATAGTCAAATAAATATAAACTTATGCCATTATGTGATATGAGTGTTTCATAGCAAATTAGTAAAAAAAAAAAAAAAACAAAAAAAAAAAAGGGAAGAAATTGTAAAATGTTAATTTCCAAAGCTGGCACTCTGATTCATTTTTTTATGGCGTTTTAAAGTAGTAGTTAGAATAGAATAGTTCAGTCAGTAGATAAATATTCCTCTCTCTTGGCACAAATTTAGCAAACACTAAATGCACATGCTTTCAGTATTATATTGAGAAATATATTTTATTAAACTAATTTGCACTAGACAAGGAAAACTTTTGTATTAAGTGTGTGTATGTGTGTTTTAATCACAGGAGAAATAAGAGCAGAAATGTTGACCTAGTATTTCCTTAAAATTACTAACCCTGAGGGGCTAGAGAGACGGCGCAGGAGAATACTTCTCTTGCAGGGGATTGTCCCAGCATCCAAATCAGGCACCTCACAAACATCTATAATCCTAGCTCCAGAGGCCAGACAGCCTTCAGGCATCTTTGGTGCACAAACCCACACATACATACACACACACACACACACACACACACACACAAACCCACACATACATACACACACACACACACACAAACCCACACATACACACACACACACACACACGCACGCACACGGACACGCGTAATCAAAAATAAAAATAAGATCATAAACGATTAACCAGGAGAGACATTTAATTGTAAACACTCTGCAAACTTAAATTGCATAATATGTCTGTAGCCCAATTTATGTTTGATTGATGTTCTGGTCTGTAAGAACATGTGTCTTATGTTTGCTAGTTTAAGAGTTGACCACAGGACCTTAGGAATGTTAATAAGGCAAGTGTTCTATCATTGAACTATATTCTCAGCCCTTACTTTTTATTTGAGACACGATTTCACCAAGTTGGCCTTGAACTCACTCTGTAACCCAGGCTGGCCTTGAATTTGGCAATCTTCCTTGTACAACCTCTCAAATGACTGGGCTTATGGTCTGGTACCACCAGCCCACTTGGAATCTGTATTTTTAATATATGATTACTCGTTAGGTTTGCCACTGACCTACCTGGGGAAATAAGTTCAATATGTACTGTTACAGATTCAGTTAAGTTATTGTAAGGTATCTTTTATTTAAAAAAAAAAATACAAAGGATGATGAAATTTGTTTAATCAAAATGTGACTTTGGAGTTTAAAAATATACTTTAGTGTTTGTTTATTTACTGTATGTATGTGCCTGGGCTTGTTAATAATGAATTATTTTATAGATATTCACAGTTTTACCTGGAAGAAGGCTTTTGCCACTATAACATGTTCAACCATCATTTCTTTGATGGAAAGGTAAGACTTATGACCACCATCTCTTTTTTCTGTTATTGTTGATTAACAAATTCAAGAGTACCTTTTGTTTTGGTTTTAGTTTTTTCAAGACAGTGTTTCTCTGTGTAGCTTTGGCTGTCTTGGGCTTGCTTTGTAGACCAGGCTGGCCTCAAACTCACAGATATCCACCTGCCTCTGCCTCTCTAGTATTTTTTTCCTTTTATCCCCCTTGCTTTGTTTAATGGTAGTAGGGATTGAACTGAGGGTCTTGTGTGTGCTAGCCAAGTACTCTACCACTGAGACACATCCCTCTCCTCCACTGGTTATTTACTGAGTAACTAGAAGGGAATCCTTATTTCCTTATTGTTGTTGTTTTATTCAGACAGGGTCTCACTATATAGTCTGCCTGGCCAGGGACTCAGTATGTACAGTAGGTTAGCTTGGCCTTGGGCTTAGGGGGATCTTCCTGTCTCTGCCTTCCAATGGGCTAGAATTGTACTTGAGTGCTCCACACTGGGCAGGCCCATTGGACTCCATGTGACCTAACTTCTGTTAACATTTCCGGCTCCACCTTTCTTTATTCTCCACCTTGCTGTTTGTGTTTAAGATTCACAGCATGCTTACCTTCAGCTAGTTCGGTGACCTCGTCACAGGTCACAGGTCCTTTGCCCCTCTGGTCCCCTGGCTTCTTTGCTTTGATAACTTTCAGAGCTCTGGTTCAAATCACTTCCTCCAGCCTCTCCTGAACTCCTAACAAGGTCATATTCTCCTTTGTTGTCTATCATACTGTAATTAAATGCATATTTCAGGACAGGGGCTATATGTGAAATCTGTACCTTACTCTTCCTTTTCTTTGAACCTGAAGTTTTTTTTTTTTTTGTTTGTTTGTTTTTTTTTTAAAGTAAGAGCTGGGTGTGGTGGCTCATACCTTCAGTCCTAGCACACAGGAGGCAGGTAGGTCTCAATGAGTTTGAAACCAGTCTGACCTACATAGCAAGTTCTAGGCAGGCAAAATTATAAACCAAAATAAATAAATAAGTTTAAACAAACTCTTTAACCAAGAGGATAGTTGTTTGGGAAAAAATAAAAAGGCAAATTTTAAGGTGATGTTGGCAATGTCACATCACATCTGAGGAGAAACAGTTCATACCACCGACATGTGTGTTCATAACTGAAACTTTGTTAGTCCTTGAGTCAAATCTGGAATCAGCTAAATAGCCACAGCTGACAGGGAGGTTTATCAGCGGTATTTGGAAACTATCAAGAATGGTGTGAAGTCTACCAGAGATGTATGCATGCCTGTCAATCAATCGTTTTCAAACTGTGACCCATGCTTAACTTTGTAATGTCCTTTGAAATATTCACTATTAGTGGAGTGAAAACCAAACAAGACAAAAACAGAGCTTTCAGGAAATAAATACAAATACTTAATTATTTGGTTAGGATTGAGAAATGAGTCTTTTGATGTAGTAGACACAATTTTACACCTATTGGAATCAGTTTGCCATTGAGATGGATGTATCTCAGCCATAAGAGCCACCAAAACCAAAGATTAGGATGAACAGCGGTTTGAGTTTGGTGTATACCACTGTTTCCCAAGGGCATCATTTGGAATCACTGCATTTGAGGACTGGTTGAGTCCATGTGGAGGAGGATGAGAGCTGAAGTCACCTGATAGTGGATGAGTTAGCATTTCACAGCCAGGGTACTGGCCAGAACGAGGCAGGGGGTGACAGTGCAGCCATGCCCAGATGGAAGCCAAGGCTGACTTGTTCGTGGACTCTTCTCAAGAACAGAGGGCGGGTTGAAGAGTGAGGTCCAGAGTGCTGTGTTGGTGTGGCTGGTGGTGTACGGAGGTGGAATGATGGTCATGGCCTTTTGAAACACGGCAGGGAAAGTGTGAGGTGAGGGTAATGAGTAAAGAAGTGGGTTTGTATTCCTGATGTTGCCTTAGTGGGCTAAGTGAAGTCTAACCTTCTACTTACCTTTAAGTCTTGTGGTGTTTTGAATACTGAAGGTGTTGATTAGCAAACTACTTCCAAGTCAGTAGGCTGGTAATCCCCTGATAGCTGTACCTCCTGTTAACTGATAAATACCCTAACCATTGTTAGTTTGGCAGCTACTGGAAACACTGGCAGCCTGGTGGGGAAATGTGTTGCTGGCACAGTTTGCAGGACCAGATGGGTTTTGCCATTTGTAGACTTCCTTTATTTACTGGCTGTGCATGCACAAATATGTCTGGTGCTCGCCCAATACTCTGAAGTGTGTGCAAGCCTGCCTGCTGACATGCAGCAGTTATTAAGCCAGAGTTATGAAGTCTACCAGAGGCAGGCCTGTGGCAGTGGGCAAAGCAGACAGCAAAACCCGAAGCCCGTTCCTCCTTGTGTTCTCAGGGCTCAGCACTCCTCTGCCTCTGTTTGTTGGATTGAATGTGTAGGTTGTTTTCACGGGTGATGGCTTTCTCTTTTTTGGGTTACTAAATTTAGTTTTTTAATTTAACTATTTGAAATGTGTAGTTGTCTGATAGTGATGGTATTTGAATTTGCAATTTAAAAACCTGCTTATCGAGGAACCCAAAGATAAAATCTGACTTGAGTCACTAAGAGAGACTTTGGATGTCACTGAGGGATGCTGCAGCAGCAGGGTGACTTGGTGGCATTTGAGTCCTGAGTGAGACCAAGCTTAACGCCTCCTCCCAGTAGGATAAAGGGCTTCTCTCTGGTTCTGATTCAATGACGCTTCATTTGTTACAGGCTGCCCTTGAAGTATGCAAGGCATTCTTACAGGAAGAGGAAGGTGAAGGAGTGATTATGGTGACAGACCCTCCTTTTGGTGGCTTGGTTGAACCTCTTGCCATTACATTCAAGAAGTTAATTGCTATGTGGAAAGAAGGTCAAAGCAAAGGTGCCCTTTTCCGTTTTAATTACTGCAAAATGAGCATGTGTTTACGTGTTTGCTTCCTGTCAGTACTAGCCTAACCCATGGAAGATGCAGCTCTTGGGCTCCTCTTAAAAGCATGTTTGACTTGACGTGATCATGGGACACTTCCTCTTATCCTAGTCATGTTTTTAAAACAGCTTCTCAGTAACACGGTTGTAAGATTATATTATGAAACACAACAGTAAGCTGCTGCCATTTGTTCAAAAAATAATAAGTGAGTGGCTGCTGTGTTCAGATGCTAAGAATTTAGATGGTAAGAATAGCTTAGTGAGCTTGTGGCCCTTAGAGTCTTGCCCCTAGAGTCTTTCTATTGTTTTGATAAAGTCCATGACCAAAACCACCTTGGGCAGGAAAGGTTTATTTGGCTTACATGTCCTGAATCACATCACAATGAGGGAAGCCAGGGCAGGAACCTGAAGGTAGGAGCTGAAGCAGAGACCGTGGAGGAAAGCTGCTTATTGATTTGCAACCCATGGCTTCCTCAGCCTACATTCCTGTACAACCCAGGACCGCCGGCCCAGGAGTAGCCCACATGGGCTGAGCCCTTCCACGTCAGTCAGTAATCCAGAAAATGACCCACTGGCCAGTCTTATGGAGACATTTGCTCAATTTTGAGACTTCTAAGTGTTTCGTACAAGTATCCGTTAGTCAGTACATTCACTTTTAGGTGCAGCTTCTGGCCTGTGAGCTGAGAAATGACATGAGTGTCCAGGGTGGCCAGGCTTCCCTACTAACTGAGCTAACGTAGGTAGTGTGCTTCAAGGGTCAAAATTTAGAGGAATTCTGAAACATGGCTCATTGTTAAATATTGCTTATTTACTTATTTGCTGGTCTTAAGGTCACTAATCAGAACAAATAAAGTCAATGTTTTGTTTTAGATATGTAATATTTCCATTAGCCTTTGGAAAAGGACAATGCACTGTCGTAAGCATTCTCTTTCCATATAACAAATACATGTATTGAACAACTGAAATTTCTACTGAACATTCTAGTTTGTTTTTAGAATCACTTATTTTAATTTTCTTATTCATCCTTTTTTTTTTTTTTTTTTTTTTTCCTGTGTGATCCATTAGATGACAGTCACAAAGAACTGCCCATTTTCTGGATTTTCCCCTATTTTTTTGAGCAACGGATTTGTCAGTTTTTCCCAAGCTTCCGCATGCTGGATTACCAGGTATAGTGACACCCTTCTTCTGGCATGGTTGGAGAATGGCTTTGTTGCTGGAATATTCTGCTAAGACTAGCTGTTGATTTTAGTAACCTGTTTTGAACTGTATCAACAATTATATTGTACTATGTATAGTCTAGTCCCTGGCTCCTATTTCTGCAACTTCTAGGATACTTGCTAAAAGTACAGAGTCTAAAAATGCGCACTCAAAAACAAAAAACAAACAAAAAACCACCCATGTCAAACAAAATTAGAGAGTAAAGTTCGAAGAGAAAAGACTTCCTCAAGTGTTCCAGGTGATTGCAGGGTGCAGCAAAGTTTTTAGGTCAGCCAATCTATTCTTTCATCAGCACCAGCCCCAGGACCAGCAATGTGAGCATTGCTTTGTTCCGTTCACAGGCTATAGGAAAGTAAACCGCCTTTTCTGGTTGGTGGAAAGTCATATACCCTTTTCTCTGTGCCACTCAAGAATGCTAAAAGTTTTAAAGGAGCATGCTGCCAGCTGTGGTGTCTAAAGAGACAGAGGTGGCTGTGTGTGGGTGTGCTGGCCCCCTGGCATGAGCATCCTTCCTGGCACTGCAGTTGATGAAACATGGCCCAAAGCCCAGGAACTTCCACTCTGCCCCTCAACTTATTTCTTTCCTTGGGTTCTAAAGTTAACCCTGTTGTCACCATTACTCTGTGTGGCCACCAAGTCAGTACTGTTTCTTCAGTGTGAGAAAACATTTTCCTTCTGTGTTTTCTGAATAACTGACTGAAGATTTTCAGCCCTTAAACTGTAAACATCTTTACTAGCTGTTGCAAGACAGCACTTGTGCTGTCTGTCTGCTCTCAAAGGCATACACCATCATAAAGAATATGTTGAAGTGATGATAGTTCCCCAGCGTAATGAGAGAAGCACCTGCAATTCCACCACAGAGAGCAAACAATTTTTATTTTTCACTTTGTTTGCAGTGTTGAGAATCAAACATTTCTAGCCAGTTCAAAAGTCTTTTTAAATTCTTCTCTGTTTTCTGTAAGTACATACTTTTAGGGTAGCTACATAATCTTTATTTAATAATTTCAATTACTTCCTTAACTGGCTGTGCTGTCGTTTCCTTCTCTTATGTTTCTTCTGTCTTTAAAGTACTCTAAACAAAACTGCTCTAAGCATTTCTAATGCATAGACTTTTCCCACAGCCTCCATAGTATAGATTCTGAAAACTGGGATTCTTTTCTCAGGTGTGATGGGTGTTTTGCGAGTGTTGAACCATATTAACACTGTCCTTTCCAAAAGTGGATCGTGTAAGCCATGTTAACCTTGACTGCTAGGTAAAATATAGCCCCGTCGTGATTCCCTCCGCAGCTGTTTTCCCTCCTTTTCAAGCTTGCAGGGTTTTGTCTTGTCTGAAGGAGGGCTGCTTCTCCAGTTGGCACTTGCGCTGCAGATGCAGATGACTTTGTCGAGGCGTGAGCTAACTAAACTGGCTCCAGTCTTCAGTGGCACCTGCTGCCTTTGGAGGAAGTGGTGCCCTGGTGTGATGGTCGGCACGCAGTAGGGGATTCTGCATTTCAAATGAGTTAAATAAAAAAGAGCACAAGCTCTAGCAGTAAGAAGTTCTGGGTTTTAGTCTCGGCTCAGCTGCTTCACCTCTCTGAAGCTCTTATCTTTAAATGAATATGATGACGGTAATCATAATGATAATAGCATTGGTAACAGATATGTCTCATGGGGTAATATATGATATGATATGATATGCAATCCATGGGCGCCATTATGTTGTGGTAGACTTAAATGGTATGGCTTAATAAATATTTATTATTAGGCTATAAATATTATGACAGTATTATCTAACCTGCTATCAATCAAAATAAAGACACAGACACCTGTTGTATGTTATAAAATAGCCTTTACCTGGGGCACTGCAGATGTTAACCCTCTAAACTAACCTTACCTCCCAGCCCCAGTCTCAACCTACCTCCCATCCATGGTCCCAAAATACTTATAAATGTTCTCCATCTCCTCCATCCATGCTGATGCAGCCCTGTGCTCCTTTACCACACTAACCAATGGCTTCAGTCCGTTTTCTTCTCCTCCAATCCTCTCCTCTTTCTCTTCTTCTCCTTGTGGTCTCACAACCCCAGCCCATGATCCCCAAACTCCCCTACTCTCCCCCTCCCTTTCTTCGGCCAAATCCCAAGCTTCAGCATTTTTTTTTTTTTTTAGTCCACCAATCAGCATTAAATTATGTGGAGCAAGGAATATACAACAAAGGCAGTCATATGTGAGAATGTGCTCCTCTGAGCAGGGACAAGATCTTGGGGACCAGTAATTAACATTAAAATACATAGCACCAGGACAGCCCTCAACAATTCCCCTTTTCTGTCTAAATAAAAAGGCCATTTAAAAAATATGCAGTAAGAACAATCATGAAATAATTATAAAACAATAGGTAAGACTTATATGCATAATGTCTAGTTTAAATTTGGCAATCTATATATGAGGATCTAAGGTTTTATACCTAAGTTATTTTTGTTATATTTTGTATGTATCAACCTAAAAACATTTATCTAGACCTAAAACATCTTTTTAATTCCTAAGCAACTAACTAATGGTAAAACTATGAGTAGCTAGTCTTTGGCCCCATAAGACACTTTAGAAGGAATAAAATTCATTACTTGAGTAAGTAGGAAGTGTATGCTAGCAACTTCCAAAAAATAAAAATTGACAGAGAAACTTTGCTGCCTGAATAGCCACCCAAAACACTCTATAACGTTGGAGCATCATTTTCAGCCTTTTGGCCCAGTACCTTTGATAGACATATGTGAAGCAGGAACTATTTAGGACTTGCTTACCCTGCCTTGGCAGAGCTAGGCAGTTGACTTTTAAGTTGCATTTAAGCTTGCCCATTTTAGGCAGAATCCTGTCTGTCGCAGAAGTGAGGGCATTTTTGTTGCCCAGATTGCTGTTTTGCCATATTTGAAGCCATCTCCATATGGGGGTTCCTTCTTTTCTTGTGTGTGCACCTGAGACCTTAAGATTGGCTAGCGCAGGTCTCCTGGAAGACAGTTGCATCTGCATGTAGAGAAGTGGCAAGAATTTGAAATGTGCTGGGACAAAAGAAGACAGCTCTTTTACTGGGCAGGCGAGAGCTATTAATGTATAGTCAGCACTTAATGTCACTTTCTTAGCCTGCCTGTGTCATTAAAAAAGGGCTTGGGGACAGTTGACAGCCTAAGCTTACTGGAAATAATTGTACAGTTCACTGTATCATTTAAGAAATGTTCAGGTGAGATCATGTGTGTTAGGGAGCAAAGCAAAAGCAACTGCTGAGAAGAATGAGAATAAGATCTGTGAGACAAAACATAGTATGTCTGAGGTCTCAGGTTTAATCCCCAACATTATGGACAAATCAAAATAAAACAAAACTGCATGTCTCCTGTCCTCCATTATAGATCTTTTTGCATAGCTCAAACCCCTGCCTTGAACATCATCAAAGCCACAATAAGACTCCAAGCCACAGTCTAATAAAAAAGTTAAAAATACCGTAGTCGCTGAATCTTTTTTTAGGGGTAGGGAGGATACTGTTTAGGATAGAGGAAGGCTCACAGGCTGTAAATCTTCATGAGACATAAGCCATGTGGACTTCAGTGATAACATGCTTGATAAGCAGGCAATAAAATAGTGATCAGAAACTGAGACATCCAACTGTGGCTTTATTAAGGGCAGATTAGGAAGGAGTGAAATTCCAATTTTGAGTTAGAAGTCTGAGTCCTAGCACTGCCTTTAAAGTGATGTGACCTGGGGTGACCGCCTCTTTCTAGGTCTCTGTTTGCCTCCCCTGTAAAGTAAGTGCTTGGAAGAACAGAGGAATGCCAGGGGCTTCCCTCACAGCGCTGAGCCTGAGAATCAGTCAGTGGCAACTTCCTCGAAGACTTGCTCAGAGAATGCCAGGCTCATGCGGCAAACCAACAGGATTGGTTGGTGATGCCTGCCCACGGGACAAGGGCCTGGGAGCAGGGATGAGGAGCAGCAGTGTTCATGTGCCTACCATACCCCAGTGAGATGGTCTCACATGTCACCCTCCTGCGGTGCTCTCTAGTGTCTTCTTGACATGGACCACATCTTGTGTGTTGAAAGTAGAGCTGTTTGCTCTGTCAAAGCCATCCTTTTTTTATAGTCAGCCTGTGTAGGAAACCTCTTTTAAGCTTTTTTTTTTTTTTTTTCCCGTAGAAAAGAAGATATTTTGATAGAAATTTAGGGAAATTATTGAATATTAGAAGATGACAACCAAATTCTTGAAACCTGGTGTTTCAAGAATAAAGGTTTAGTGAGTGTTGAGTAAAAAGGGGGTGTGGTCTACATGGGAATTTTAAATTTGGGTTCGAGGGACGTGAGGCTGACTGTGGCGGTAGTGGGGGCTGCTTGGTGAAGCTGAGGCGTGGTCTTGAGACCTCACTTAGTGAGACGACACAGAACACAGTCCTCAGGGTAGTGTGCAAAAGCTCGTGTGGCCTGGCATTCTGTCTGGCACATAGTAGGCACAAAATTAGCGCTCTGATACCTCGGTGTTCCAAATGACTAGTTTCAGTCTCGTGCTGCAGAAGACATTTGCGTATGGCTCAAATTAAAAGTTGGGAATTGCAGAGATTTTGTGCTTTCCCTCATTTCTATACAGTACTTCATCACATTAATCAGTTCCGTGGGAGAAATTTTCTGTTTGAAAATGCCTCTCATCATCATTGTGAGTGAGATGTCAGGGATAATGACGGGAACATGGAGGATCAGCGCTAGCACTAGCGATAGGCAATTTGCAAAATTGTGTTTGCTTTACAGCACTTCCACGGGAGGTTTATTTGTGTGGATGAAGCTATGAAATATGGATGTATGTTAGAGGTACATTAATTTACTCTAGCAGCATGCGTTTTACATACCATATGTTTATAGTTAATTAGCACAACAAACCCGCATTTAAAAATAATAATAATCTCAATTAGGTTATGCAAAATCGAGCAATCAGCCACCTTCCTGACACATGCATTCTCCAGCTCCTTGGGAAACCATAAAGAAACTGCCCCCTCCATCTGCTGTGGTAGCGCACGGAGCCCCGTGCAGCACAAGTCCTCCCACACTTAGCGCTCCAGCATTTCCACGTTTCTACCAGATTCTCTTGGGAAGAACGGTTTTCTTACGACACGCCTCAGTTTTCATGCAGAATATCTTTTGTTGAATTTAATAAAGTGCCACGTATATCCAAGTCCACGAAGACGTGTGCTAGGGAAACATTATAAATTTAAATCCCTTTAAACTACTATTTTGGGTTTTTTTTTTTTTTTTTGAAAGTAATGTCTGTTTTTGTGCCTTGCCTCTAATAGGTAACATATATTCACAGGATTTTGAAGTTGGAAAGAGACGCAGAGGTAACCTGGGCCAGCCCCCCAGCGTGGTAATGCGCTCTGCTGAATCCATGGCAAGCCCTCATCCAGCGTCACTCAAACGCTATCGGGGCACAGAGTCTGACCGCCCTACAAGGCAGCTCAGTTTGTGTAGTAGCTCTAATCGTTGGAGAATTCTCTCATATTGAGATGAAATGTGCTCCCCATTATCGTCTAACCAGTGCTCCTGGTTCTATTCTCTGAGGCAATAAAGGATCAGTCTAATTTCCAGTCCATATGATCCTGCTTCAGTTATGAACTAGCTGTCAGTTATGAACTAGCTGTCAGTTCCTCCCAGGCTTTTCTGAACAAACAATTTGTTAAACTCTAAATCCTATTCATTGCTATTATTTTCAGTGGAAATGAGCTGGTTTCATCAGTGTCTCCCTTAAAATGTGAGGACTGAACGCAGGGCTGCAAATGGGCTCTAACTTAGTCGTCTCTCGTTGGGATACTGAGCGTGTGTTGAGGGTCCAGCCTGCACGGACCAGTCAAGACATGACCGGGGATGCCCCTGCTGGCAGCCACTCAGAAGCCCTTGGGACTTTTTACTTGGCCCTTGCCCTCCCTCATCTCATCTGCTGAGTGTTTCCTCACTGCTGAAGCTTGTTAGAGTGCCTTAGTGAGCACACTTACTTGTAAATCTGGTACCACTCACTGGGTTAAACCAGAGCTGCAGAGTCGAGCAGTCTGCCATCCAAAGCCTGACTCTTGGCAGTTTGGTTAAAGTGCGGGGATTAAGTGACTGTTGAGTATTCAGCCCTACATGGAACTTTTTTGTATCAACATCCTCAAGGCTCAGGAAACGTCATGGAGGAAATGAGTAAAAAGAGTCGAGTCAGGAAGGGGGAGGAGTGCAGTGAAAGGCTGTTTTCTGGACATGCCATAAGCAAGGCATTCCTGGCCTCACAGCAGTTACCTACAGGACCTGCCCACATCCTGCCAGGGATGGGAGGGTGGCTGGTGAGGGTCCGCCCCACTGAGGGGCTGCTGGCAACTGATGGCTGCTGCAGGAGGGGGAGTCATTCTCCTTCCAGGGTGTAGTTGCTGGCCGGTTGCCCCGGCACATGCAGGTAGCTCTAACTGGACTCAGAGGGTTTTCATATATAACACACACATATATGTAAATGTGTCTGTATGAATGTGTATACATATATGTACAGTATATGTATGCATATATATGTATACCTATATTGTTTTAAAGGACATGAAAGTGGGAGGAGGAAGCATTAGGGTGTGGCCTAAGGAAATGGAATTTGGGGAGGATATGATCAAGATACTGGTTATTTCCAGCTTCCTAACTGTATCCTGGTTTCTCATCCTAATAGCTCAAGACACCTTATGTGGACCTTGGGATCCACCCATCCTGAGTTCATAGCAGTCTCATAGTATTCTTAAGGATAATCCAAAGCAGTGGGTATAAACTTGGACTTGTGAGGAGGCCTTGCTAAAACATACCCCACTCCCACACTTTTTGATATAGGAGATGTAGGTTGGGTAAGAATTTGCATTTTTTTTAATTATTTTGTTTTTTCAAGAGAGGGTTTCTCTGTGTAGCCTTGGCTTTCCTGGACTTGTAGACCAGACTGGCCTTGAACTCACAGAGGTCACCTGCTTCCGCCTCCCAGAGTGCTGGGACTAAAGGCGTGCACTTCTACACCCTGCTAGAATTTGCATTTCTAACAGGGTCCATCCCGGTGTCACTGAAACACTTTGAGTATTATTAACCTAAAGAAAGACAGGTTTTCACAACAGATCAAAAGCCAAACTGAGGATTTTTATGGTTAATAGCTGAAGGAGGACAGGGAATGTAGAAGTATAAAACAATGCTCGTTGCCTTGCTTTCAAGATAATCACTGAAATAACAAATGCAGTGTTGAGGGAGGTCAGTGTTTGAAAGAGTCACTGTGGGAATCGGAGCCACCCGTGGACTCCTCTTCGTCGCCATCTTCCTGCCTCATGCCAGACTCTGCACTAATGTTGACCATCACAGCAACTCTCAAGGTCAAGGACCCCTGACCTCCTTTTAAAGGCGAAGGTCATCTAACAAGTTAGTGACCACCATGGTCTGATCCCTAAACCTCTGTTCCATCTGAGAGTGAGAGTATAGACAGTGTAGAGGGCAGACTAGGGTGCACTACCCCAAGGAAGTGGGGGCTAGCATACATCTTCAATCAGAGGTCTGTGTTTAGCAGCAGAAATCAAGCTCTGCTGGATGGTAGCTGTGGGGGTGGTGGAGGTGGAAGTGGAGACCTCATGAGGTTGGCCATGAGTAAACTTACTTTTAGAACTTTCTTATTCACTGCTTGAGTATTTCAGCCTGTATCTTGGTTTGTTTGTTTATTGGTTAGAGGAGCTTAGTGAATGCTGACTCCTTTTAGTGAATTTTCGTTTTACTTTCTAGGTAGATTATGATAATCACGCACTTTACAAACATGGAAAGACAGGTCGAAAACAGTCTCCTGTGCGGATTTTCACCAACGTCCCAGCCAACAAAATAATCCTTCCTCCAGAAGAAGGGTACAGGTGAGACCACTTTGAACTTACCAGGTCACCTGAAAAAGCAATTCTGTGTACCTAACAATAAAATGCTTTAAATATTGAATCATGTGGCTTTTGTATTACTCTCAGATCTGGTCCATCATTTCATATTGAATTGAATTCTGATTACCTCCAATTTTTGGAGCAAGTACCATGTTCACTTTTGTCTGTTCTGTGAGTCTCAATGAACACATGCGAGTCATTTCCCCATTTCTTTCTTTAGATTTTGCTCCCTTTGTCAGAGATATGTTTCTCTTGAGAATCAGCACTGCGCGCATTGTAATTCTTGCACATCCAAGGTATATTTCTCTCATGTAATCCATTTTTATGTAAGCAATTGTTATATGATAATTTGATTACTTTTAAATTGTTTTATTAACGCTTGAATTCCTATGTAGTATCACCTCTTATTCCTATATACAGTAGTACCTTCTAATTATAGATTGAGGAGGTTTTTTAAAGTCTTTGTTTTTTGTTTGGAAGGCATATGTGTGTATATGTGTGTTGTGTGCATATACACACATATACATATAGGTGGAGGTCAGAGGGCAACTTGCAGGAGATCATTCTCTCCTTCCACCCTGTGCGTTCCGTGAATCAAACTCAAGCCATCAGGCTTGGTGATGAATGCCTCACTACTGAGCCATCTCTCCAGCCCTGAAACAGGCTTTTTAAAGTACTTAATTTCTTTCATCATTGTAAATAGCTATTTCAATCATTTTCATATGGTACTTACCAAGAGTGTTTCAAATAAGGCAGTAAGTGCTGAATTTATGTCTGTTAAGGGTAAAATTATGATATTTCAAATCAGACTTTGGACCATTAGATACCATTGCTGTTCTGATGAAGTAATGATTAGTAGCAGGTACTGTGCACGTTCTATGTGCTAGGTTTGTTCCTAAGAGCTTTGCATGGGTTAACAAACACATTTAGTCCTCAAAATAGCCCCTGAGGTAGGAGTGCTTCCCCTCTGCTCTTTTGCAGGTGCAAAAGAGAGACCTGTCTCCTGTTGATGGCTGTCCCGCCTGTGTTTTTCTTTAGAGCCTTTGTTTTTGAAAGCATTTTAGATTTGCAGCACAGTGAAGCAGAACGTATTGAGATAATGCTCTCTCCCCTGCTCCCGTGCACAGCCTTCTCATCAGTATCCTGGACTGGAGTGCACCTTGTGTGACGGTTGCTGCACCCACTAATCGGTACCCTCCAGTCCATGTTTTACTCTGAGCTTCCCTTTTGGTGCTCTGTGTTCTTTGAATTGGTTGAATATATAAGGACCTGCTTCTGCCACTGTAGGGTCACGCAGGGACTTCACTATAGACCCTGAAATGTCTATGCACTACTTGGTCCCCCTTCCCTTTCCCAACCTCAGGCAACTGATCTTACTAGCTCTATAGTTTTACCTTCTCCAGAGAGTCATAATATTGGAGTTACACAGCACATGCAACTGCTTTTCAGACTGGCTTCTCCCACTTGAAAGGGCCATTTAAAGCCCCTGCCTGCCTTTCTGTGGCTCCACGACCCAGTCCTATTAATGACTTCCCATTGTCTGGATGTATCTCAGTTTGTAACCATTCACCCACTGAAGGACATCTTGCTTGCTTCCAACTTTGGGCAGTTACGAATAAGTTTCCTGCTTACTTTTGAGAAGATAGGATGACCTTCCAGCTACTTTGTTCAGTTTTAGTAAGTCTAGTCAGAAAGAACATATGGAATTCAGCTTAACTAAACATCACAAATTATTTTCCAAAGAAAAATTTATGTTCATGTAACTATTAGTTTAGAAATGGTTGTTAGTTTAGAAATACTATGTACAGGTTGTAGGAAGTTTAAAATTGAAACAAAACTTATTTAGAAATGTGCACATGGGTGGTAAAGATAAATAAGAACAGGGGAATGAAGGTCACAAAAGATCCTAACAGCTGTTGTCCAGTGGGAAGGGGTGCTGTGGTGAGAGGCCATGCCGTGAGGTCTCTAGGGGCTCAAGGGGACGCAGTTCTTAACCAGCAGTTGCTTTAATAGTTGTGAAGTGTACACATGTATTGAATGTACTTTTGTAGGTAGGTTTTATTTCACATTTAAAAAAATTACTCAAATGATAACCTGTAATCTATCTCTAAATTACATGAAGCTCTCAAATATGAATTTCATTAAGGACTCTGTCGTATAGATAACATAAATTATGGACTCATTAATTCTCTTGAAATTTTCATTTGCGTCCTTCTTTGTGAGGATTGGGTGGCTTGGAGCAGAGTGGATTTTCAAGATCATTTGGGTAAATCTAGTTTCATAGTTAAGGAAATTGAGGCCCATCAAGGAGGCATTTGAGTTAAGTGGAGAAATGCATAAATTAAAATCTAAGTATTTAATTGTGAAGCCCAGGAAAGGAAGAAATAGGGAATGAATAATTTACACATATTTTAATAAGACATTTTAATTTTTAATTGTGGAACTTGGCTTTTACAACAAATTGAACATTTTAAAATTTGTTTTTGTAGGACGGCAGGAAATGGAGCCATTGCTTTCTCTGCAATAAGTGTGTGAAGCCGTGTAAGTGTTTGGCCGGGTGTTTGAGACCCTGGGAAAACAGTTTTGAGTTCTGTTCATAGAAATAGGATTTTTGTTATATTCATAAAGGGAAAATAATGTAAAGACCAACATTGACTTTGATAGTTACCAACAGCCTTTCATAAGAGAGCTGGCTGCTAGCCTGTGTCAGTGTGGCATTCGGCTCCTTTACTTCAGTAGGGTTGTGTGCCTCTCAGCCAGCCTCCGCTGTGGCAGCTGCTGGCAGTTCATGCCACGCTGGGCAAGGGCTGATGTGTTGCAGTATAAGTAATGGAAGTCACCAGTTTCTGTGGGATTCAAATACTGCACCTTGATCTCTTTAGCCAAATTAAAATGAGCTAAGCAGAGCAGCACAGTGTTTGAGGTGAACTTTAGTCATATAACCTCCTTCAGAAGTTAAGACAATGGGAAATCGGGGTAAATCAGCCTCTTCTGAAACTTGGTATTTCTTTTACAGCCTGGATACACTGCAGCAGCTGCAATTGCTGTGCACTCTCAGATCATTCCTGTTCCGGTCCTAAAGATGGCTGCTTTATTTGTGGTGCATCGGATCACAAACGCAGCAATTGTCCGCACATCGGCACCTCTAGGAGAGCTAACAAGTTAGTTGAATTCTTTCACCTTCTAGAAAAAAGATTGCTGGTGTCAAGCTTTCTAGGAGCAATCTACAAAAGTACAAAGCTTTCAGAGGACTCGGCAGTGCTAAATTGTTACTCTCACCATTATGTATTATTTACGTGGATTGCGGGGGAAGGCTCTAAGGCAAGTGAAGAGTGTGCTTCAGAGAGCTCAGCTGTGACAGGTTAGACACAAGATGGCCAGAATCCAAGGGGGAAGTTGCTAACTTTGCATCTCCTATGGTTCAGACCAAATTGTAAATTTAGGGTGAGAGTTCAGAGCTCACTGAAGGAAACGGTACTCAGGTCGGGCTCTGTGGGCTGGCCAGATGTGGATACTTGGTGGCAGAAGGCATTTTGGATAGAAGGGGCATGCCATTTCATAGCAGAGAAGTGTGAATTCCAAACCATTATAACAGAAAAAAGTTACTGGTTGATGTGGGATTCAAACCCTGCACCGTGGTCTCTTCAGCTGAGTTAAAATGAGCCAATCAAACCAGCCACTCCAAATTTAATATTTTTTATGTTAGTACTAGTTCTATAAATTCTGTCTGCTCTTAAGAACATTTACACATGCTTTTTACTAAATATTTAAAATACTGTTTTTTTTTTCCATGATTGTTTTCACATCTTCTACCATCATTTGGGATTGATAACTCAGAATAAAATTATTCCAGGGATTATAGCATGTTTAGAAAAAAACTACCAACTGGGCTAATGCAAATGTGCCCTCCCCCACCCCTGGATATATTTTTATTTTAACTGTGTTTGGGTGATTTGCCTGTGTGTATTTCTGTGCATCACATGAGTGCCTGGTACCTGAGGAGGTCAGAAGAGGGCATCAGATCCCCTGGTACTGGAGTTACAGATAGTTGTGAGCTTCCGTGTGGGTGCTGGGAAGTGAACCTGGGTCTTCAGAAACAAAACTTTGGTATTACACACTACCTTCAGATTACCAAATAGCTAAGCTTCACATTAAGTGAAAATTGAGATTATAATAAAAAAAATTTCCCTATCATATTATTTGTGATGAAACAGATAATATGAGAAGTATTTGAAGCTTCAGTTACTATGATTATTTTATAGTTATCTTCTGTCTTATTTATTTGTTTGTTTACCCCAGTGGGATTTTTTTTTTCTTCAGGCCAGTCAGTTGGGTTATATTTCCTATTTAGACTGTCATTTTCATAAATTTACTTTGTAATTATTTCTACTGAGTAGTTAAAGGTAGAAGAATAATTTTTTTAAATTAATTAAGTGAATTATAATTTTCCTCTTAGAAGCCTTCAGTAATAAAACACAGTCCATCTACCTGTTGGTCTAGGATGGTTGCATCATTCATTTACAGTATAATTTTGAGTACAACCAGGAGTTAACATGCTCAGCCTTTAATTCTGTGAATTAATGCATATGAAAACTGAATCTTAATTTTGGTGTGAGTTTTGGTTTTGAGACAATTTTGTTGTATGGCAGACTGGCCTGGAAATTGAGTTCCCCCAGGTGCTGGGCTTACAAGGCCCTGCAACCATACTGCGGCGATGTTTATTAATGGATTATAGGCCCTATACTGCTGTTGAAAAAGCTAGTCTAGCCTGGCATAGTGATGTATGCCTTGAATCACAGCACTGGGGAAGCAGTGGCAGGCAGGATTCCAGGCCATCCAGGGCTACACAGTAAAACTCTGCCTGTAAAAATTTAAAACAAAACAAAACAACAAAATCCTAGTCTTTTTGTTGGAGTATTTAGTAGCATTGTATTTCCTTTGGGGAAGTAGTGAGAAATCATTATGTTTCAGTATTGGATTTTGTCAACTTTTGTTCAAAGAGCAAATCCTTTGTGGTGCAGTGTACCTGGTGATGCTTTGGTAGAATTGCGTTCTTCAGACAGAGAACCCTTCTAGACTCTGTTACTGCCCCCTCCCTCAAAACACACACACACACACACACACACACACACACACACACACACACACACGCACGCACAATGAAATTGACTACCTAAAGGAAACTTTTTTTTATTTTATGTGTATGAATGTTTTGCCTCTACATATGTATGTGCACCATGTGCCTGTGTGGTGTCTGCAGAGGCCAAAAGATGCCCTGGAACTAGAGTCGCAGATAGTTACAGCTGCCACATGGGTGCTAGGACTTGAACCTGGGTCCTCTGCAGGAGCATCAAGTCCTTTTAACCACTGAGCTGCTTCTCCAGCCCTTACAAAATGGCCTTTCCTTATAAATAGCAATGCTTCCAGTCTGCATTTGGGCATTCCATGGCTTGCAATGTCTTTCAGTGCTATGCATTTTACAGTTCTCTTCTCTATTTTGTTTTTCCGTGGTAATGGTCCTTCCGCTGCGACCTGGAATGCTGCTGGCTCCCTCTTGTGGTGAAAGCTCATTCTGTCAGTTACAGAAATCCTCAGGGTTAGAGGACAAATACTAGGTCAGTGTAATTTTAAGGCAAACTAAAATGATCAGTTTTACTCCACCAGCACACCCCAGTTCATGTACTTAGCTCCTGAAGGTTTTGTTTATTTACATTACTAGTGAATGCGTTCAATTCTTTTCTTCTGCTTATTCCCTAGTGAAATCTGGTTCATTTTTAATCCTGCTTATGAGTAGATGAACCAAAGAGAAATTTAAAAATTTGAATAGAGACACATGGCTTCATTGACTTTCCTATTACAGATTATACTTTACTTCATTAAATTTGCTAAGTCCTTACTTATCAGGAAATTATCCTACGTTAAGGAAATGTCTGCTTGAAAGAAAAGGTTTATGTAACATGCAAAGAAACAATATAAAGTGAGTTTTATTTTGGGCTGGTTTAGCCCTTAGCACAAAACGTGAATGATGTAAGTTGTCAGGCAGTGTTCTGCTGAGTGGCCCGGTAAAGCTGATGTGTATCAGTGACGCTGCAGGCCCGGCATCCCACTAATTGAGCAGTCACTATCAGGTGAGCGTGAACACGGAGTCTAGCGTCAGGCTGGCCTGGCCACTCTCTCCCGGATGATTCAAGGACCTGGAAAACAAAAATTAGGAGAAAGGGAGACACCTACCTAGCACAGTTTTTCAGCTCCTTGAGTTTTTTATTCCTAACTTCTGATGCAAACTATGCTGAGCAAACAAAATATGAGGCTCAAGTTTGACTGGCTGAGGGATCGTCTACTCTTCAGGAAGCCCTTTACCCGGGGTTAGATTAAGAAGGGCCTAGCTTGTTAGGACTTATGCAAATCATGGCTTCTGACTCTCAGCAGCTGATAATGCTGGGTAGTCCGGGCCATTTCCAGGTGTGCCCAGTGCTGCGAGCCAGCCCAGCCTTTGACAGGGGAAATGGCATGATTCTGCCAGTGTGGAGAAGTGAATAAACGGTCAGGGGTCTTGCCAGCACAGGCTGCCTGGTTCAGAGACCAGCAGAGCAGAGGATCTGTTCTGTCTGCTGTGGCATGTTGTAGAGGAGAAGTTCCAGCCTATTCATTTAGAAGCTTGTTTTCAAGAAGCTTGGGACACAAAAGCTGGGCATCCTTTGAGGTGCTTGCTGGCACTTTCACACCTGTGAGAGAAGGAAGATTAGCTTTGAGGCTTTAGGAAATGAGCCCTCTTTAATGTGGTCAGTTTTTCTTTTCCTGTTGTGCTGTTTCATTTTTCTGCCCCTGCTGACTGCCGCATGTATTAATCCCTTTCTTAAAAAAAAAAAAAAATGTAATTCAGGGATTTGGAAATGGAAGTGCTGAGCTGAGCAGTATAAATGTAGCAAAGAGACAAGCCCGTTGGTGTGCTGCTGACTTCTGTGGCGTGTCTGTCCTGAATAGCTTTTCTAAATCTGTAGTAACCATCTTTTAAAAAAGTGTCTTCAGGAACATTTTGCTTGATCAGGCCTCTGTCTGTTTCCTTGTTGTCACGGTTAGGACACTGGCGATTTATGCTTACTACACAGCAAATTCTTTCGTGTCTTCTATTTTCCTATTTGGCTAGCCAGTTAATTAAACTTCAACATAATTACATAATTCACTATGCTCATTCCATAAAATAATTTAGCACCTTGCTTTTCAGAGCTGTCAGAAAGCAGAAGCAAAGAAAAAGTAATAAGATAAGAACGGAGCCACTAAAGGACAATCCATGAATCACACATCTGCTCCAAGAAGAAAGAAGAGGAGGGAAAAGGCCCATCAATATCCTCGCTCTTAAATGTCCAGTGACTTGAGAATAAGGAAGATTTATAGTCCAACCTTTGATGCCATTTTCTTCAAGTGCCACACTGGACTTAAATCCAGATGCTTTCAAAGGTGTGCCTCCTCCGAAGCCCGGCAACAGGCAGGTGGCATTTGCTGGCTGAGTCCCTTCAGCTGCCCTGCAGACCCTGGAGCCTTCTGTTCTGTCTGTATGCTTTTTCACTCTTTAAATCCCTACCGGTCTTTATTTTGGCTTCTTTTATCTGAAAAATGGGTGTACAGCATGCATTGGCATACAATACCAGACAGAAATGCAAACGAAAATCTGTAGTTTTCCTTACATCGAGCTTTTGTTTTAATTTAGATATGAGACAATTTTGTTAAATGGCCAAGCAATATGGTAAGGTACATTTGGCCATGTTCCATGGGCCTCATGTACTCCAGGACTGCTATGCATGTGGCCCAACACAGAATCATGAGCACACTTCCAATAGTATGAGGTTTTTATGTGACTTTTTTTCATAGCTTGATTGCACAGTCCTTGAGTGGACTTGACAGCTGATGTCATGTTGCAATGTCAGAAGGTTAGATGCTCCCAGATACTTTTAACAAAAAGTGTGATACATAGTTATTTATAGATTGGATCTGAAGATGACGGGGAAATTGTTATTGAAGCGCTGTTAAAATAAAATATTGTAATTATTTTTCATTAAATCTTTATTTTTTCAGTACGTTTCCAGTTGTTTTTACTATTATCATCATCATTTATTATTATTATTTTACATTTTACAGTTGATTTATTGTATGTGTGCCCACGTATATCCAGGTGCTATAGCACTCACGTGCAAGTCAGAGGACTTGTGAGAGTATGTTCTCCACCATGTGGGTTCCAGGGATTGACCTGAGGTCGACAGGCTTGGTGGCACATGCCTTTTCCCACCTCCCCAGACCACGGTTGTCTTCTGATGGCATGGAATCCCCCAGATGTTGGATGAATGTTTACGATGGTAATTGCGCTGACATTTCAGTGTCCTAACCTGTGCTATAATTTATCTCTTTGTGAGAGGAGTTGGGAGCAGAAGGCAAGATGGTGATTAACCCCTCATTCTTGTGCTGGGGAACACTTCCTGGCTGTGTGTCCTTGGTCAGATCCCCTCTATAACCCTCTGTATCTTCGGTATGGCTGTGGGAGCATCTCATTATGTCAGCTTTGCTTTGTGATTAAATAAGACACGTGCCCAGCTCTCAGTTCTCTGTGGTAAGTGAGCTGTGTAATCACAGAGGCCAGATGGCCATCTTCTTTTGGCCCAGTTGCCTAGCACTGAAGAGAATGGTTCCATCTCCTAGAATAAGCAGTTCATTGCTCCATTTTTCTGGCAGCTACCTGGCTTTATCTCTTTAAGACTGAATAGTTGTAAATGGCTTAATTTGCATAATGACTTTTCTCCTCTTTCCAAACAGCTGCTCTGGAGCTCATTGTGAAGCCTCTTGGCTCGGTGTTTGTTACTGGGGCCCTATGAGTGCTGTACCTATTCCCAGTAAGCCAGGACTGTTGGATGCCTGATGTGACATATTTAAGCTTGGTGCAGATCAAAAGGTGGTAAATATCAGGTGACATCAAAAGACAAGGGGCTTGGTGTTCAGGTGTGTTGGTCTGCATTGCATCCCTGGAACCCATGTAAAAAGCCGGTTGTGTAATCCAGTACTCCTATAGCAATATAAGAGGCAGGACAGAAGAATTGGCAGAAGCTCATGAGCTAGCCTAGGGTACCTGTGCTGTAGCAGAAATAAGAGAGACCCTCCTGATTCATGACAAGGTAGAAGGAGAGAACTGACTCTCATAAATATCTGTGGCACACATTCCCCTGCTGGCAGGTGTACATGCATGTGTGTGTACACACCACACACACACACACACACACACACACACACACACACACACACACACATTCAAGGGGGAAGTGTTCTGTCCCTGCACTTCACCCCTGTTTCATCCTGTCATTTGTTACACAGATGGCTGTGATGATAGTAGAGACATGACCTGGAGATCACTTCATTCCCCTGTCTGTTTCTAGCCTGGGTAGGGAGGGACACTGCCAGACTTTTACTGTGTTCAACTCACCCTGGTCAACTCTACTGAGTTCTCTGAAACTCGGACACCTGAGGAACCATGACCACTAAAGAGTTGGGTCCTGATAGCCAGTGGTCATTTGTATCTCCATACGCCTTAATTGTAAGCTAATGTCAGTTATGAAATACATCTTACGGCTAGGTGTTGTGGGTTATCCCTACAGACTGGCTATTCTAGAGGCTGATGAGACAGAACTACGGGAACCTGTGTTTAGGGCTAGCCCCCTCAACATGAGGAATTCCATATTGATTTTATCCTGGCTTTCCCTGGGAGAAAGGAACAGTGCTTCATTAACTGCACATACTAGTTTTTAGATTTTCTGATTTGGGGAATATTGAAATGTAGAAAAATTACATCCTAGAATTAAGGAACATGAGCCTCAGTAATAGTCAAGAGTAATGTACCATAAAATAAAATTCCATGGCATGCCATAACCCAGCTGTTTGAGAGGTTAACACCAAAAGCTCAAGATCAGCTTGGTCAACTTAGCTATACCCTACCCCAAGTAAAACCAGTAAAATAAGGGATAGGCTTAGTTTGTGGTAGAGTACTTGCTTGATATCACTAAGGCCTGGGTTTAATCCCCAGAACTGCAAAAATGAAAATAAGCTTTAAAAAGTTACTTCTAGGACTGGAGTGATTTTTCAGTAATTAAGAGTACTTGAACACGCCTCCTTAGCGCAGTAGGCAGCGCGTCAGTCTCATAATCTGAAGGTCCTGAGTTCGAACCTCAGAGGGGGCAGCCGTTTTCTTGGGGCTGGAGAGATGGCTCAGAGGTTAAGAGCAATGGATGCTCTTCCAGAGATCCTGAGTTCAATTCCCAGCAACCACATGGTGGCTCACAACCATCTATAATAAGATCTGGTGCCTTCTGGTGTGGAGGTGTACGTGCAGACAGAACAATGTATACATAATAAATAAAATAATTTAAAAAAAAAAAAGAGTACTTGATGTTCTTCTAGTTGACCTATGTTCAGTTCCCAGCATTAACTAGTCCCAGGGGATCTGACATTCTCCTCGGCTCCTGCGGACATCCTGGCATGTGTAGCACGTACACAATTAAAAAAAAAAAAGTTCTTTTTCTTTTTCTCTGTATATCTTTGGCTATTATGAAACTTACGCTGTAGACCAGGCTGGCCTCAAACTTAGAGATCTGCCTGCCTCTGCCTCCTGAATGCTGGGATCAAAGACATGTGCCACCACCACCTGACTGACAGTTATTTTCTTAGAAAAGTAAAAATAAGTGGTTTAGTAAATCTGTTCTTCCATTTAGCAAATACTAATTTTAGGGACATAGCCTGGTGTTCTCAGAATAAAGTAAGGGGAACATGTCATTTTTTGTCTCTGGGAGGTAGGAAGTGAGTTGAGAATGGGGTCAGTTATTCTGACTAGAGATTTGAGTATCTGAACATTGAAGTACACACTTAAGACAGCAACAGAAGATCTCTAAGCTTTTAAAGGGAAATTTTAAATGAATAATATCCTCACTTGCTTTCTATTGCTTTGATGAAGACCATGGCCAAAAGCAACTTGTGGATCGAACAGCTAGTATGACCTAGGTCACAGTTCTTCTTTGGTCAAGTTAGGGCAGAAACTCAAGCGGGACAGGAACTTGAAGGCAGGGACTGAAGCAGAGGCCTCCTCCATGGCCTCTGCTTACTGACTTACTCCCCATGGCTAGCTAGCTCAGTTTGCTTTCTTAGAAAATCCAGGATAGCCCATCCACAATAGGCTGGGCCCCCCAAGTCTATCATGAATCAAGAAAATGCTCCACAGACTTGCATACAGTCAATCTTAGGGTGGTATTTTTTCAACTGAAGTTAACCACCTCCAAGGTGACCCTAGCGTGTGTCCAGTTGACAAAAAACTATCCAGCACAATAATTACAGGTAAATTTCATTCTACTTCTAGTATAACATTTCTGGTAGCTGTGGTCATGGAAGTAGGTAATGACACCTGCTACCAAGCCCAAGCTTAATGGAGCCCGCATGGTGGAAAAAAGAAACAGCTTCTTACAGTTGTTCTCTGACACCCACATGTGCTTCCACAATTATACTCACACAAAAAGTAAAAAAAAAAAAAAAAAAAAAAAAAAAAAAAAAAGATAAGAAAATTCTGATGCTCATATCAATAGAGGTTACTAGAATCCAGAGTCATTTTGCAGGCCCTCTCCAATCAGATTTCAGTTTTTCCTGAATGAGTCTAATACTTAGACTCTCTCTCCAGTGTGCCTGTTTTTTCCCTCCCCTGCTGCCTTTCCTGCGTGGATTGTCTTATGGGACTGTCAGGCTTGACTCCAAGCCCGTTCCCTTTGCTGAAGTCTTCCTTGAGGCCCGGGCACTATGCCTCCTCTGAATCCTTTAGCATTCTGCACCATGCCAGGGTTACTTTGACTTAGTGTAGTATTCTGTTGGTAGATTTTATTTCTCTCTCTGGAAGATTTAGGCTTCCAGTGTCAGCACCTGTTTTATCTGCTCTTCTGTCTCGTGTTCTGTAGGTACCCAGTAAAATTTGGGTGAAAGAACCGAGTTTTTTTAAGACCTTTGAGATGGCAGATACACCTAAAATAGGCAGAGGATTTGCTCTTGTCTTTTTCAAAGGAGCAAAAAAGGGAAGATAGACACAGACAACAATGCTAGAAGGCATTTAGAGTCTGTGTAAGGACTGTAACAGGGTCTAATGGTTGTGCTGGGAGAACACTGAAGCCTTGAACTTTGTAAAATGAACAGCTGGGCTTTGGGAGTGAAAAAACAAAAACAATACCATTTTGTTGGTGTCTAGCCCATTCAGCGTAATGTAAAATTGAAATATGAAAAACAGCCTACAAAGGATCCTAATTTTTGCCTCCTCCCTACCATGTCCTCTTTGTCCTCTCCTGTGGAGCTAGAAAGCTGCAGCACATCTCGGGCCAGTGAAATAAAATTTATGTGTATGCGTGTGCGCCCATGCACACACTTTTATACTTTTTTTATAGGTATACTTTTTCAGGGAACTCACAGCCTTCCGTGTGTTAGAATAACTTGATGTGCTTGCTGAGCTCTGTACAGATGAGAAGCTCATGGCAGAAGTCTCTTGCCTTCATTGAGTTTCACCAGAGATTCCATCTGCATCACATATGACCTCCATCCATGGGAAGCTGGCATACAGAATACCATGTTTTCCTGCTGGTCAGTGCGCATGAACACCACTTAGTGAAGGAAAATGCCGTGTGATAGAATACTTTCTGAGATCCCTAACCATGTTCCATAAGAGGCTAATGCATTTGGCGCTGCATGGATGAGGAACACTTCCACCAACTGCAGAGGAAAAAATCCAGTTTCACTTATTGGATGTGATTTTAATTGGAACATTAAGACGTGGGTTAAATTACTTGAGGGCCAGCTAAGGAGGTCATTGTGATAAAGTGAAGATAAGGTCCCTACTGTTTGATGTCAGACATTTTCAGTGTAAATGTTAACTCAGCAAGATTGAAGAAGATAGCAGCAGAGTGATTGAGAAGCTCTCAGAACTCTGAGAGGTGGCTTTTACACCATTAGCCAGTCAGTTACAA